ACTATTAGTTTTCTTTTTTACACATTTTATAATGGGGTGCCTCAAGATTGTGCATAATTTTAAAGGGTGCCTTGACCGAAAAAAAGGTTTGAGAAACTATTCAAGAAGATAAATGGTACTGTTTAATTGTAGTAAATTAAGTAGGAGGATTATTTATTGTGCTTGAGGGATTTTTTTTTTAAATTTGCTTACTCCTTCAAGAGCTAGTGACTCTTGGTGGAGTCCCTAAAAAATGTTTTTCTGTCTCCAACAGTAGGAGGATATTTAGGTCTCACTCCTCCTTCATGTGGTATTGCAGATTTGTTAGTTTTTTTTCTGCCCCTCTACTGCGCAAGTCCAATAAAGATTTGATAACGGTCATGTCATAGGATTTGAATCCTTATCAGTGGATGGAAGGGTGTCTGTCTTGTTATTATTGTTATCTATTGGAGGTTTATAATGGGAAAATGTTATTTGCAATACTTTTCTAAAGTCATTAGTGTTTGGGCTCCGATGGCCTTCAAGAGATGAAACTCTCATAAATCTTAACAGTTCAATCATGGAAAGTTATAGAGTATTAATTGTACTCATTTTTGTAATTGTCTTTATGGTGAACTCTTAGATAAGAACCATTACCTTTATTAGATGTATCTGTTTATTTATCTTTTACCTTATGGTCCACACTATTTTTTTTTCTCTGTTTTTATTAACTTGACTGCTGTAAATCTGATCATCAAAATCTGTCCAATAATGAGAAGACATGGATGTTTTTTGTTTATTCAATTAAATACCTTGCTTGTTCAAAAGTATATGTCTATTTACATTTTTTGTTGATGAGGTAGTCTTCATTTTTCTGTAGATGTGATTTCAGCTCACATGACAATTTACCACCTGGCTCATTCAAATCAACTTTTGTCAAGTCAGGTGGTGCTTGCAGGGCCACCCATGGATTCAATTTCAGATTCAGCAGGAATTAGTGGAAAATGCAAGCTATGAATCAGCATTTTGTTAGTCTATTTATTCATCCACGCAATACAGACTAAAGATAACATTTAAACTTAGGTCTGCTTTAAAGCCAAACTCCAGGCAAACAACTAAACCTACAGATAATACACAGTACATAGCTGTTTTAGTTGCCAAAGGATTTGTATTTGTGACCATCCAGTTTGGAGATTCAGACAGGTCTGCTACCCAGCACAGTTGTGGCTGGCAGGGAAGGAGGTATGATTTTTCTTTGCTATAGTAAATTAACAATAACTGGTCTTGTGCCTCTCCCTGCCAATGGGCAGTGATGAAGAATTAGCAGACTGATTAACTTTTTTTCTCTGTCACTCAGCAATCTTCTCCTATTAGCAATGGAGTTCAAAATGTCCCAAAAATCAAACATGTCACAACATTTTTGTGGCAATGCACCACATGATGCATTGCAGGGGGTTGCAGGGCACTGCCACACATATATGTTGCCTTAAACCGACCATAGATAGATTGAAATTTGGCTGGTTTAGCAGAAACCAGCTGAATTTCAATCCATCTATGGGCAGGCTGATTGTACTGAAGTCGATCTATTGATCGATTTCGGTACAACCAACGTTGTGGGGTTTTTTTGTGCGATCACTGACGGCAGCTACAGCCTCCCTACACTCCCCACAGGCAGAACACAGTAGTACTGCAGGAGGGATTCCCATATCAACACTGCCTATTTCTTTCCTTCTGTGGTTGAAGGAAAGAAAATTGCATAATGTATGGCTATCCTTAGTGTTACATGTGTTGTGGTAATGTGCGCGTACAGAAAACACAGTTTTCTGTAAACACTGGTCAACTCTCTTAAAAAATATACGTTAGGGATCATTCACTTGTGGTTGGGGGAGGAAAGTTGTAAAAATAGGTGGCTAAGGCGCGTTGGACTGATCCTCACCCCTCAAGCTGCAAAGGAAGCCTGGAAAGGGATTTACACATCCTGTGGCTCCAGCTAAAAAACTGCCCACCTAATGCGAACCATTCAGGTGAATGGGACCATGCCACAAACCGTTCTGCAACCATATGTAATGCATGTGGTTGTAGTGCAGTAGTGTGGCATTTACAGGGTTAAAACAGGTGTTGAGATGGTGCTCCAATGATAGTCACATATCTATATTTAGCTTAAATGCTAAACCTTTTAAAAAATTTGGGATAGAGTGGGAAAGAGTAGGACCCTTAATTTGTATTGCTGTCTGTGTCCCCGCTTTGGAGATTCACCCTTCTTGCTCCGTTGACCAGTGTTACTGAGACAGAAGGTAAGAGGAAAACAAAAATTATAGATCTGTCATCAAATCAAAATTTGTATGGAAATCTTCCAATGGGGAAAAATGTTCTGGTGGCAGCTGCCTAAGATGGGAATTGTTCTCCCTTTTGGGAGATTTTCTCACATGTTCTGTTGCATCTCAGGGACAGGAAAAGAAATTTCCCCAATATAAAATGGATAGCAAAAATAGCCCTACTCTCTATCCAAAAGGAAAAAAAACATTTTGGCTGTACATACACATTAAGGCTTCATGCACACTAGCTTTTGTTTAAGCTCCTAGAAGATATTATGAGCATTTTTTCTGCTCCTAGAAGCTAATAGGGTTATCCTATGTGTCCATTCACACAATTTTATGCTAGAAGTGTTTTTCAAGCTTCAGAGTTTAGGAGCAGAAAAAAAATGTTTTTGTAGAGTTTCTGGGAGTGTTTTCCCAACAGAAAAACCACTGAATGCTCCTAAACACTCCTAAACGCATCTAAAAACTTCTTTATAAGTGTTTTTTTTCTTCTTTGTGTACAATGCTAATAAAATGCTAATGTTCCTAAATGCTCCTAAGGGCTTCTAAACGTTACTAAAACACTAATACAAGCTGGCACAAAAATGTTATTATCAGTGTTTTTCATTCTAGCATTTTTGAGTTGATAAAAAACACTTGTGTGCATGGAGCCTCAAGTATTTCTAAAGCCAAAATGTTTCTTTTAGTTTTAGGCTTAGAAGGTGTTGAAACCCCTGTTAGGTTCTTATTACAGTCTGTGTTCCCTACTAGGAAGATTCACCCTTTCAATATATCTTGGTGACCATTTAAGCCGGGACAGAAAATAAAAGGAAATCTAAAGTTTTACAGTTATCACCTGAAGGGCAGGTGAAGGGAAACCTTTTGATAGGAACACCCGTTCTAGTGTCAGACATTTAAGAAAAGATTTTCCCCTCATTCTAAATGAAATTTCTTTTACGTACTGTTGTGTCTCTGGAACAGCATTCCATTCCTTACTCTATCCAAAAAATGTTGGCTTTCGATTTGCTTTAATTACAAGCAGCTCCAAAGTTACAAACATTCGACTTACGTAAGATTTGTACTTACAAACGGATGGCAGCGTGACGTCACTTCCGGTCACTTGTGCTCTACGCTGGTCCTGGAAACAGCTGGGCGGCCATCTTGCTCCCCACCGCACGCTGCCACCTACTGTCTGGTGGAACTGTCAGCAATCCCACCTTACTGCATGACCAACAGCGGCTGTAACTTGTGGAACTGGTGAGATACAGTTAATTATAACAATCCCGGTGACATCTGCTATGTCCCCCGGGCTGGAAGAACTTGTGCATTATGGGCAGTGTCTGAGGCCGTTACTCTGTGCCCACTACTATTAGGAGTATGCCCTAGCTTCCACCTGTAACTTACTGTACTATTTGTAGTTGTCCAATAAGGTATTTTTTGTTTAGTTTTGGCTAGTACAATGTGGGGTTAGAGCCACTGTGAGGTTTTTACTGCTGTCTGCATCCTCATTAGAAAGATTTAATCTCACTTCCTGTCCCTGAGACAACAGGAAATGAGAGGAAATCTACCCCTAGATAGGGAAATTTACTCCTGTATGAGTTATCATGGAAAAAAGGTGTCTCCACTCAATCTTTATTACCAATCCTTGTTTCCATTACAACCCAAAATTTTCAAATCCCACTGTCACAGGGACAAAAAGTGAGGTGAAATCTTCTTAATACGGGCACCAACTGCAAAACAAACATTAACCCTTTCCTATGCTATCCAAAACTTTAAAAGAATGTTTTAGCTGGTGTTACACTTGAGAAATGTACCTGTTCCAACCTACATACAAACTCAACTTGAGAACAAATCTACAGAACATATCTTGTTTGTAACCCAGGGACTGCCTATATACTGTACTAACAGAATGCTATCCTCACAGAAGTTAATAGCTCTTCCCTCCCCCTCTCCAGTCATGAAGAAGACAAGCAAGGAAATCTCCCTCCTCCTTTTACACCCAACCAGCCATGGGAGTCAGACCCATCACTGATGCCAGAAGCATGTGAGTAAAGACTAGGGTCCAGGTGCAAAGACTTTCCGAAGGAGTCACAGAAATATGTTAGAACCTGTTAAATGATTAAACCTCCCAACACTTACTTAAAAACAATAACTTCTGGGAAGATGTACCCTTAAGATGAAGTTGAATTTTCTGTTCAGTGTTAAGACTGTACTGGTAAATACTTATAGACTAATAGGCTTACGGGATTTTCCAGCTACAGTCCATTTCAATTATGCTGGTACATACAAACATCTACAGGCTTTACTATGCATATTAGTAAGTTAATGAATACAGATACAAAGCAAGATAAAGAAAAGTTCCAGGTATACCCATACTGTAAAAATATGGTGAATAGTTGTTGCCTCCAATTTAATGTAGTTACTGAGAGGAGGCTAGGATATAGACAGAGAGCATCTGGCGGAAATTAAAGACATGACTAAATCTGCTCAGGGCTGAAATCTCCCTTCATTAAAAAGATATAGGTATCACTAAGCCCTTTACCCAGGCACTTCTGAAAGGTGTAGAAAAGGGGGCTGGATTTTCAATCTCTGATGTAATAAGTCACTTAAGAGTCCATAAAAGGAGGATCAGGAAATCTTGACATCTCTACTTCAGTTAAGCCCAGCAGAAGCAAAAGAGTTTGAAGATATTTATTTTCTTATTGCAGCCACTGGTGAGACATAGAGTAAGGTGTCACAACAAGCATGGGGAACACCAAAAGTGGAGCCCTTTCAAAAGAGATCCTTGAAGACCTGAAACTGAATACAAAGTATTCAGAGGACGAGCTTTGCAACTGGTATGAGAGTTTTAAGAAACAATGTCCAGATGGCAAGATAACACGCCCAGACTTTGAGAAGATCTACGCGAATTTCTTCCCCAATTCAGACCCGCAGACATATGCCAGGCATGTCTTCCGTAGCTTCGATACAAATGATGATGGCACACTGGACTTCCGAGAGTACATCATTGCACTTCATCTCACTTCTTCAGGGAAAACCAACCTTAAGTTAGAATGGGCATTTTCATTGTTTGATGTGGACAGGAACGGTGAAGTCAGCAAAGTTGAAGTACTTGAGATTATCTCAGTAAGTACAGTGTGGTATTTAGCATTTTACTAAAGAATCCAACATGTAAAATAAACTGATGTTTATAGGAAATAAAACCCACAAACAATTATTATAATAATAATATAATCAATAGAATAAAATGGTGGTCGTTGCAACTTTTTATGTTGCATTATATTTGTGCAACTGTTTATTATTCACATATTTTCAGTAAAACTGTTCTAATATGATTTTAATGCACATAAATATGATACCCAATTTTGGTCAAATTTAAAAGATGGAGTTGCATTGTGTAAATAGACACTAAAACATTTCAAGTCTTAAAATTATATGAAAATGCAAAAAAACTATAGTACCCCCAGTTGTTTGTAGACAATGGGATTGAGTTACTAAAACCAGAGCGTGCAAAATCTGGTGCAGCTCTGCATAGAAACCAATCAGCTTCCAGGTTTTTTTTTTTGTCAACGTTTAATTAAACAAGTTAAAGTTAGAAGTTGATTGTCTACCATGAACAACTGCACCAGAGTTTGCACTCTCCAGCACCCCAGTGTTTCTAAAGCCTCTACAAGTCATCAATTTAAAGTTAAAAGTAATAATAACCCCAGAATTATTGCAGTCACTCCAGCGTTAGCAGTGATTTCTGCCTATACACTGGTTTACATTCTTATGTGTGTGCAGGGTGATGGGGTTGCTGTTGAATTTTTTTGTTTGTTTAATTTATATATTTTAGTAATAATTAAAATTTTGTACACTTTTATTTTACATTTAACTTTATTGCTATTACAAGGGGGATAACAAGCCCCCTATGTAAGAACATTGGCAGCTGACAGGTTCTTTTTTTATGAAGACATCTGGGGGTTTATTTACTAAAGCTGGAGAGTCCAAAATCAGACTCCCTTCTGCATAGAAACCAATCAGCTTCTAACCTCGGCTTGTTCAATGAAGCTTTGGCAATGAAACCTGGAAGTTGATTGGTTTCTATGCAGAAGGGAGTCTGATTTTGGACTCTCCAGCTTTAGTAAATAAACCCCCAGGGGTCTATTACGCCTCTATTGTCTACCCCTGCTTCCACTGCAGCTGATAAAGCACTGACTGTGCTTGATCGGCTGGGCACCCAGCATCTCAGCAGGGATTGTGACAGCTGTGAACCCGGAAAGGCTCAGAGCTGAGCGTTTCCATGTTCGTTCATTGTAAAGCAGATCGGAGAACTGCATTGCTGCACATCACAGCATGGTACAGCCGCCCGGATTGCTTTTACATGGAAGCCGAGCACCAGCGACATAGTTACATAGTTAGTCTGGCTGAAAAAAGACAAAAGTCCATTCAGTTCAACCATAAAAAAAAAAAAAGTTCTAATCCTATACCCACAGTTGATCCAGAGGAAGGCAAAAAAAACCTAGCAAAGCATAATCCAATTTGCTCCTGTTGGGAAAAAAAATTCCTTCCTGATCCCCGAGAGGCAATCGGATATTCCCTGGATCAACTTTACCTATAAATGTTATATTCTGTGTATCTAAGAAAGAATCCAGGCCTTTTTTGAAGCAATCCACTGAGCTGGCCAGAACCAGCTCTTGAGGGAGTCTATTCCGCATTTTCACAGCTCTGACTGTGAAGAAACCTTTCCGTGTTTGGAGATTAAATTTCTTTTCCTCCAGACATAAAGAGTGCCCCCTTGTCCTCGGTGATGACCTCAGGGTGAATAACTCTACACCGAGTTCACTATATGAACCACTGATGTATTTATACATGTCTCCTTAATCTCCTCTTCTCTAAAACAAAGGATACAAAGCTCATGCACTGCAAGTGGTTAAAAATGAGTATACTTCTTTATAAGGTACTACAGCCCAAGGAATAGAACAGGGGTTCTTAATTGGTTGTATCCATAGACCTTAATCTCTGAATAGCTAAAATAAATGAAATAGAATTCTTTGCATGAATGCATCCAAAATCAAAGTGGAGAAATTGAATTGTCTGATGACTTGTGAGTAACAGTGTCATTGTCTGTATCTGTACCTCTTTGATTCGTCAAAAACAGCAAATATATTTCATTATTTGGAGCTAACTTCTGTATGTGTGATTTATCATTTTTTTTATAAATATTTATGATAAAATCCTTTATAAATTTCTTTAAGCTGTTCTGCTCTTAGCTATCCACATGCAAAGTAAAACTAAGCTATTGACATATATTGCAGTTCTTCACCCTTTTTGAAAAAAAATAAAGTCAACAGCTACAGGATTTGTAGCTGCTGACTTTATTTTTTTAATAAAAATACGCTCACCAGTCCAGGGGTCCAGCGCTGTCCTCACCCAAACCAATTCTTCCCCCGTCTTTGGATCCTGGTATGTTTAATGTGGGTAGCAGACTATGATTCCTTGCAGCTTCACACCTGGCTGCCCACTGCACATGCGTGAGCTGTGCTGCACTTTGTGAATGGTCCCTCAGCTTTTTGGGACCTGTGAAGTGTCCCAGAAGAATGTGGGAGGGGGGAGGAGGAAAACGTCCCGTGGATTGCTACAGCGATCCGACCGGAAGTGAGAATGGACCTGTAAAAATCAGGTACCCACTCCCCCCTCCCCAAAAAAAAAATGCCAAAAGTAGAAGAGGAGGGGGAACAAGGGCATAAAGCAGAACTTTCTGCTTTAAGTCAAACTGTTGATGATGACAGTGAAAAGAGGGCATTGGGAAATTTTGGGCAATTAATTAGCGCCCGTTGACACTGGTGTGCTTAAAAATGTGGTATGTGTTTTGTTGTCTTTTTCATGTATGGCATTCAAATTTAATACATGCATTTTATATGCATTTTGCATAAATCTTCATCCCTGATTGTCTGAGAAAAAATTTTACATATGACTAAAAAGACACTACATTTTTGGTGTGTTTCCATTGACTTGGAAGGTGTGTTTGGTGAGTTCTTGAAACTGGGCACCAAAGATGCAACATTCAGAACCTTTTAAAATGCAGCGCAGTGATGTGAACAGTTACAAAGGATTTAAAGGGGACAATTTGTTCATGTGCTTTTACTGCACTTGAAAGGTGCAAATGCACACTACTGTGAACAGGGCCTTAAAGTCTGTAATCATAACAAGGGTAAAGCATCTGAGTACCACAAACCAAAAACACTATTTTACTAATTTTTAATATTCAAAGCAAACTCACCCATCCATCTATGTCTCCATGTTTTATTTTGCAGAGAAATCAATTTCAAAAACCCCCCCAGCATTTCCAGCTGTGGCCATCTTGAGTAAGGGCAGATGATTTATGTAGCATTTGTTTCCTGGAATCCATCTGCTTTTAGCTCAGGCATGCAAGCAGAAGGACGTGCTTAGCTTACCTCTCCTCCCCTCCTGAAGACTCCTGGAATGTATGACATATTTGCCTATGCCTGGAAACCAGGAAGAAACTTAAGAAAATGTAACATGTAGATATAATATATACTTTCCTATCTATTTACTAATTCTAGCAGCATAAGGATTAGAAATAGTCAATGTTGATTGACAGTGAAGTTCAACTTTAAGAATTCAGATAGAATTAGCCATGCTAGGCCAACAAGATCAGGCTCAAACTAGAATGCGGTGCAGTTGTGATCTGCAGCGAATGTCAAAGTTGATGACACCCCAAACGCAGATTGCAAACGCAGTGCATCTGCCTGCACCGGAGTGCATATTACAAAAGTACCATGTAGTCCAGTTGCAGTGCATTTCCAAAAGTAATGCATGCAGTACTTTAGGTGCAATGCAGTGCAATCTGAACCCATTCAAAATGAATGGGCGCAAATCACACTGTACTGAATCACAAATGTGAATAACACAAGAATGCACAGCACGTTCTATGCTATTCATAGTATTCAAAGGATTAAGCCTGGGCTCACACTGATCCGGTGCGGAATTCGCAGCGGTTTCTGTGCGAATTCCGAACCGCATCACAGTCGCACCCTGTTCATGCGAACCGCTGCGGGTGTGTATGTTAAGTTAACAACACCCCAAAATTGGTTTGCAAAACGCGGTGCGATGTACAGAATCGGATTGCGTAGGTGTGAATACCCATGCAATCTGATTCTAGTGCGGACCTTTTATGGGTCCTGCATCTTTTAGTGCGGATGTGGTGCAATTTGAGCCATACAAAATGTATGGCTCAAATCGCACCGCACAGAATTTGCATGTGATTTGTACAGAAAAGCGGTGTGGTTCCTGTGCGAATCAAATGTGATATGCCGCAACGCATCAGCGTAGCCTCCCTGGCGATATTCCCGAGTGTAGCTCGGGGTAATGTTTCAGTACCACAAGCGGTAACCCCGAGCTACACTCGGGCTTACCATGCGGCGCTGCTCCACGATCCCTCGATCACTTAACTTGTCCTGCGCTCCCGCGATGTCCCTCCTGCAGTGTCCCCGGCAATGTAATCCGGCGGATGCCAGCATCTGTCATCTGGGTTCCATCCCCTGCGAGCGTCGGGACGTACGGGGGACGGAACGGCGGGAAATTTGAAAATGACAAAAAGTGACATTCACTAAAATCACATAGTAAAACATTACTGTATAAAGCCATTTTTCAAATACATTTTGTCCCGAGTGCTTTGTCCTGTGCCCTGCCTGCATTTTTACTGTTCTTTCTGCCTTGAAACTGAGAAATGTCCATGGCGTCCAAAAAGTGTCCCTTTAGGTCAAAATCGGTTTTAGATCAGCTAGAGAACAGCGATAGTAAATCAGAACCACTTGCAGAATTGAGTGATAATGATTGGTGGGGAAATTCGTCGTCAGACACTGAAAACGATTTTGCGACTTTTGCTCAGTGATGTGCGAACTTGGTGCTATTTTTCAAATTTCAGTGTTTTTGGTTTGATTATATTGTTGAATTAAATTTATTATTATTATTATATTATTTTTTATGATTATTTATTAAATTATAAGTTATGATTTCGTGTTTCAAGTTTTATCATACCCGGAATGTTTACTAGACTCTTGTTTGGACAGATTTCAGTGAGTTATTCCTAAAAATGACAGGCCAACAATAAAAAAAATACATATTTCCATGCAAAAAAAGTACCGCTTTGAGCACAGAAATATGGACATAATCAGACCTCTAGGGAGGTTAAAGTATAAATATCCATCACCTGTAGCATCTGACAGCTGTATTGTTTGATAAAACATCGGGGACAATTTATAATGTCTGATTACAATAAATTATTACTTTCTGTTGTTAGGACTGATCTAAATCAATGGAAAGTTAAGTCTTTTG